TTACTACATGACCTGAAGGTGGCCGAGGAAAATATCGACACAGCGGCTGAGGTGTGGAGGAAACTACACTCCGAGGCCGAGGCGAGCGGGATCGTGGGATACCAGGAGGAAGACCTGCCGTCGCTGAACGGTACCAAGATCTGTTTCATCGAGGACCCGAGAGATTTTAAAGCCCAACTTCCTGTGAGCACAGGGGCATGCTCTGTCAAGGACCTCACGGAGTACGAGGAGCTGGACCTAAAGCTAAATTCAAGCAACTAGTCGAGGGTGGGCAAGGTAGGATAGGCTGGGAAAAGGTTAGGGAACAGTCAGAGAGCGAGCATGCCTGGTCCATAGGTTGTCTTTACAATTAGATATATGCGGGTGTTGACCTAAGTATTTGATCCAGTTTCGCCTAATGATTCTGTTCTTTGCCCTCTTACAGTACAGTATCACCAGCATCTGCGAGTCTCAACTCGGTTGATACGCGCATTACACCGATACCCTGGATCTTCTGACTTAACAGCCCCAGAGTCCACTATTGATTGGCCATCGGAGAAAGACAAGAAATGGGCGAACTCTTCCTTCCATGCTCCATACTCCCGAGATCCTTGGTGGCCTGGTCCTTTAACTCGTTATCAACCATCAAAGCGGACCCATCTCGGGGAGCTACAAATCATCTTCTCGGATTCTCCTTCCTTACAGTTGCAGTACTCATTCATCAACACATATTCGACAGAGAAAAGTCTCATGTGCTTGAAGATACAGTATTTTTCCTGGATAATCACTGTGAAGACGATGAAGAACTGGTTGATTGGCTGCGCAAAATGGCTTGTATGTCATCCTCGCGACCATCCAGTGGCTTTACCCTCTTACCCATAATCTGCCCAATGGGCAGATCGGATTGAGTTGGACAAACTCTATCGTAAGGAGAGGAGTACTGTAAAGTACAGTAATCGACAGATGCTGAATCTTCCAATTGTTGCAGGTCGGCATTTTGACTTTCTATGTGGACCTGGGAATCTGCTCAATGTAATCCATGACCAATGAGAGCTAGACTCGGAATGTGATTCGCTTTTATGCCACGCGTCTCCATCGTTGCTTCACATTCTCTCAAAGATTTCTGCAACTGCACTGAACTCTTCGAATTTCTCGCAGCGGTTAGATTCACAATGTCGTGCCCCGAGCAGCGGCCCTCTCAGCTGCCGCATATCCTGGTCCGCCACCAATTCGACCTCTGCCGGCTGTGCCCAAACAGGGCTCATAATTGGGCCAGCAGAGTTGCGCTTCGTCGTTTGCTCATCATAAACGCAGCGAGATAGGTCGTAAACGGCGACAAGTCGTGGCCTGTGCAAGGCGATCAGTTCAAAGTGGAGCGCCGCGCTGCTCTCCCTGATCTGTTATCTCTTATCTATTATTGTCGCCGCCCTAGGGTTAGGTGACGGCTTACATGCCCCCTTTCTGTGAAGGGAGGACCGAAATCTATGTTCATCTAAGCTTTTGCTCTTTGATCCCCTGTTTCGGGCTGTGCTCGGTCAGAGTCTAAAATTAGGCAGCTTTAATGACGAAGTGAGAGCTTGATTTAGTCTCTACATGAATTTAATCACCTAGGCCCCAGATGCAGGCCCGATATGGGCATCGCGATGTCCGAGCTATGAATATGTGACTAGTCACCAAAGCCGTCAATGAGTCTCTACTCGTCAAAGGTACAATGAATTTCCCTTGCCAATTAAGCTCTAGGCAGCGATGGCTTGTTCTGCATTGAGAGTGCTATTTTGCATCCAGTCAACGAGGACGGCGAGTCCCGGTAGTGGGATGAACACTCTATTACAAGGTCTGCGGGTCAGAGCGCGGACTGATCACGCCGGTAGGCTCAGAGCCACTCAATCACCATCTGTCATACCTCTTAATACTATAGCGAGGACCCAAAGCCGGCACAGGTGCAAGAAAATGTATTTTGAAGGCCGTTCCACATCCTGACCTGTAATATCTTTGAACCCGTGGACAGGTCTGGTATTGGTCCCTCCTCACTGGGCTGGTGTGGCCCAATATACAGCGAAGGGCCACCCTCAATCCCCACTAGGGTCCTAAAGCGGTCTGCACTTGGCCGTCGCAGCCTATACGTCTAACACAAATATATAAAAGGTGAAGCATAGTCTGCATACAGTTTGACTATCTGAAATGTTCAACCGTCCCAATTGACCAAGTCTGACTGCGTAATAACATTACAAGAATGTCGACAGCATACCCATTTCCAATCCGGATCCTGGTACGATCCTCTCCTTCGACTATTGATGGCGGACACTAACAATCCTAAGTTTCATGCAAGCTTCCTCTACCTGGGCTCATTGGCCTTCCGATCTCGAGAATCAAGTGGGGTCTTGCCGATCGCCATGTTCTTCTCGGCCTGGATGATTGTTGCTGTTTTAACGTGGTTTCCTGTGCTTAAGCCACTCGTAACCGATGTGATCCAGCACCCATTGTCATATCTGGCTGGGCTCACCGCGCTTTTTTGGATGGTACATATCTACACCTACCTTTCCACTGGTCTCTCCGATATGTCAGGGATAGTCCAGCTCTGGGCAGCGGCTGTGCTCGCTGTTTTTGCATTGCGATTCCTTATTTTAGCGACTTCTGCTTTTAGAAATACTGAGTGATACATTTTGTTCGCCGGAGAGAGAATGGTGTTTGAAAGTGGGGGAGATTTTAGCGAATAGGGACGATGGGCTGCGAAGGGATGATCTCAGTCGCTCTTGTATTGTGGCATGCGACGAATGTGCGGTGGAAAAGATGGGCATGTTTGGACCTGTCACGGGCCTTGAAACCACTGGTTCTAGCGAGCAGCATCAGCTCCACAAATCACATAAGCCTGAATCAGCCTATTTCCTGTGCTGCCCATAAATTTACTATCCGTTGGTTTGAATGACCATTTCATCGTCTCTCCTCTGCATCATTCAAGCTCGAGTCGGTTGACTTCGAAAATAGATTGACAAGGATAACTCAGGTTCTATGGGAACGACCCGAGACCCGGCGTAGGGCAAAATCTTTGTAAACCCGTCCGGTACAATTTGATGCACGCTTTGAGATAAGTTGTGATTTCTGACTTCAAATGGAGCATTGCACCATTCGATGACAGCACAAATGTTTACCGTTATAACTTACATAGGTTCGTTCGGAGCCCGCCGGTTGCGTGTAACTGCCATAGGCGTTGTCGTATCTTGATATCCATTTCGATATAGAATATAGGCCTCAGCGACTCGCGCAATCTGCAAATTTGGTGCTACTAATGTCTTTCGAAGATGTCAGGAAAAAGCTACGGAAATTGCATTGCACGGCTAACTAGAGCAGAAGGCGTTCTTCGTCAAGAAACCGCGGGCTTATCGTAGCAATCCCTTTATCAACAAGGGCTAGACAGATGAGGATGTCGACAGCGCAGCCGCCAGACTCAAGACATTTTGCTCCCAGATTGTCCAATCTAATTCACAAACAAGCAGAATCCCACTGTTGATCAAATTGCGCTATGTGGCTTCCCATTTCTGCATTTGAGACTGCTAATCACCCGCTCGCCACCAAGGCGAGGTTCCTTCCTAACTTAGTTCCTTCTTTCATCTGCGGGTTCGAAAAACTACCGATCAGTGCCAGTATTTACCGAAGGAGAACTCGCGTGCTGTAAAGCACTTGGTCCATTTTGTTACATGAAAGGGTTGACAGGCACCATCCACCTCGCGTATCACGGAAAGGTGCGGTGATAACACGCCCTACTCTAAGTCATTCGTGATGCCTCAGTAGAAGAGTACCCAAATGGTGCTCGCAAGTGGAAAGAGCTCGGACGTTGTACGCCTGACTTGTCCACACTTATTTCTGTTCTTTGAATTCAGACTCAACCATGTCCACTTTCTTTTGCCTGAAGCCTGGTTGGTATTTGCCATCAACCAAGAGCCAATCGACCGGGCCGCCTCCATAGGGGTTAGGATGGTTCGTGCGGACTATCATCCTCCTTGACTTCTGCTCAGGTTTCTTGCAAACTAGAGTATGGATCGCCGGAGTATTCAGATAGACCATGGAAGTCTGCCATTGAGCGTCTTCCCGTCCTCTCGCCAGCTGCTCGTCGAGATTTCGGACCTTTGAATAATCACTGCCCTCCATAGCCTCCCAGATATTGATGATGGCGCCATTATTCAGAGTATACTCGCCATCTTTGTAGGTACCTGGATGAAGATAGTCGAGAATAGTGGTGCCGGATGGCAGCCGGTACTTCAAATCCCCTGTCCAGTCAAGCGAGGCCAGCACAACATACGAAGCCTTCTCAAAGCTTTGTGCTATGAGGACAGGATCTGCCTGGACGGCTCTAGCAGCCTCGAACCAGACATCAGACTTGAAATAAGTAGTCCAGATCTGCGCGTGGGTTCTTTGGGCTATTGTTATCTTCTTGGTACCGGCGGCCGCTGCTTCAAGCATTGCGCAAGGTAGGAAATTCTGCGCCTGGCCAGGGGCCTTCGCGGTGAAGTTGCTGGCCGTCATTGAGAAAGATGGTCGTCGTAATTATATTGATGATTAGAGTCATAAAATTGAGCAAATATCCCCATGCGCTGACTTCTTATAGCCGGATAACAACCTATAGAGAGGCCAGGTTTGAGGCCTCTCTCATGCTAGACTTTCAGTATCATACTACATGCTACGCATTACCTTGGACGCGCCTCGATAGCAGACAAGCAGGTCAATGAAGCTGTTCGCATTCTGGGTGCAGCAGAACAGGGATTATCTGATTTTCGGGCCACACATCGGCCTGAATTAAGGGTCTGGCCCTGATCAAGGCAATGAGCTTGATGGCTAGGAGGCTTTTGCCCAGCGGTCCACATTTGGTCCTATGACGTTTGCGGAATACATCAATGCAAAGAACTGGTGTGCATCGCACTTCGTGATCGTCTAAGACGCCTAAGATCTCGCAAGTTGACCTACAGAAGTGATGAAGCTCATCCGTTACAGCTCTGATACGAAGGTGCCAGTTTAATGATCATGTTTGGAGATAAATAGATACATTTAAAAAAAATCGCGAAGCAATAAAGCGGCTGTGTCAGAAGCATCGAGGTGAAAATGCACCTGTGTTGCAGGGACATCATAGCTCAGACCTTCGCCATCGATACACCTCTGGGCACGGATGAGGTGGAGCCAGGCCCGTATTAGGTGATTCGACCTCATTCTGGACCTCCTTGTGGCCGTGAGTAATTTTCCTAGATATGTTGGGAGCTAGTCTTGACCTGTCCCCTAAGAGTGGAGGATGACTTTCCGTCACAAGTTCCTACATTTGCTCTCGCCTCACAAAAAAAAATGATTTCAGTGGCTTGATCAAACCCGAACTATAATACCGAATGACCGGCACCAAGTTCGAACAGTCTCAACCAATGCAGCGATGCTGCTTTTGACGAGAAAAGTTGGCGAAACATATGTTATGTTGCACCAAACCCGAAATGGCCAAGTAAATCGGTGACCCAGTTTGAAAATGATCATGGCTATATACCTGGTGACGAATCAAATCTTTCACATCAAATCTCGAGCCCTCAGCAGACCCTCCTATGCGTCCTCAAGAATCATAGCTATGCTTAGCGTCTACCCACTCCTCGTCACTCGCCGTTGGCACCACGATTAATCTATGGCCCTTCCACGTGTTAAAAAAATGCAACCACAGGAATAGAACGAGGATTGTGGAGGCCCCGTTCCGCCAAGCTGAATGGAGGCATGGAGAACTGTCTGGGCTCCGATCACAGAACAAATATCACGATTGCACGCAATTGCTGACGAATAAAAGAAGGAGGTTGGTTGATTGTGTAGGGTAGTGTAAGGGTGCAGGCGACAGTCCAATGTCTATTTTCCTGTATCAACAAAAGAAATTCTCTAACAAACAGCCTTTCCCCTCGGCTATCGTACAATATCATACTGACCTGTATCTTGGCTGTCCTCTTCGTGGGTTCCTCACGTGGATTCTGGAAGGATCTGTGGGGATCGTACTGTACCATCGCCTTCATCGGAATTAGGGTCCACTCATCTATTGTACAGTATCACTGGATCCGATCATAATTATTCTCATTCACACTAACATAAGCGCATAGCAGTGTAGACCCCATCCGGGCACAATCAACAAATTCGAATGCCTACACAAAATGTGAAGATCCTGTAGATACGGAACATTTCGGTGCAATCTTCTTTGTTACAGTAATGGCGTTTCGTTCCTAAGACTGATGAAGGAAAAGGGCTACTAGCCCGGCCAAATCCCGATGCGGATTCCTGGAGGTCGCATCACATATTTAAACTGCGGCTTAAGTATTCATCATACTGTATAGCCCAGACTATATTTATGGAAGGATGCCCAAATTTAGTCTGGCAAAGTATTGTCACGGGATCTTTTAGTTCCAAATTTAGGTTGATCGTACCACGGTTGGTCTTTCTGATACAATGATCTGTCGAGCGCGAGGCGAGACGATGGTCAAGATACTCCATATGACTGCCGGGGCAGTGAGTGAAGCTCTCGAGATGCTCCAGGGTGGAAAGTGAATGTAGAAGAGACATTGAAAGAAATTGTTTCTATTCCTTCTTCCTAGCCAAGTCACTGAATCACCGAAAGTTAGACGTCCAATCTGCCAAGTTTCGGACGATTAGCTCACCGTCGCTCCGCTGAGCACACTATATCCAGCTGACCGCGGATCCGAGGGATCGTTGCCCGGCCAGAAAAATCGCTATTTCCCCTTATTCAGAATGTATGTTAAGAAGTCTCACAAGGTATTCCCTATGGCCAGGCCATACTTTCCTGTTCATTCCTGCTCAAATGGTCGTAGCTGTGTCGAGTCAAGCTCAAGGGGCGCTTCGGCCATGGGGCAGGCCAAATTTAGGTTGAAGATCTACTGAATGATCACACCGAAATGTGCAGCATACCCCGTGACCCATGTCCGGCAATCATAGTTGAGGAGTTACAAATCGACGATGTCTTTCACCTGAGCCTCTCACCCCACTTCACCTACCTCATCAAAGAAGATAGGGTGTGCAAGGCTCTCTTAGAGATACTTTCCTACAAATTCAAGCCCTTCTCAATTGGTGTTTTTACCGAGCAATACGTAATTATGCCTTGGGCTCGAAACTAGAACCAGAAACTGATTCTGGATATATTTCAGGTTATAATGCAAAGGGCTTTGGTCGACGTGCGGTTTGTTTTGCACTCCGGCTGTCCGGGGCAGGGCTTCCATACATGGGGACGATGCACAGATAAACTTGGACTGCGGGTCACAAGTGATCCGTACACTGGCAGGTTCAATTTTGTCATGGTCGGCATGCTACAGTACCTTTGTTAGACTCGTGATACTGATTCTGCCTTATGGTAGCCTATTTTCGTCGGGTCAAGCCGCAAAAATCACCCCGAGTGGCTGCTTGTCGTTTGTCTAGCCGATAAAGAACTATGCACATCTGCCTGTCGAGCCGCAGGAATATCCTGAGTATGGTGCTTTTTGATGGTGACCACTGTGATGTCGTTCGAATTATAAAAAGGCCCGATCCCCCTCCTTTTATCAGTCTGACTGTGACATGGCAGAGTTCCTCGCTAATACCTCATTTGACCTACCAATTACCAAACCAAACCAATCACTATGCAATCCGCCAAATTCATCAATGTGGACCTCGAGGATGCTGGAGGTTTTCAGTGTCTCCGACACAGACTGTACGAGTCCTTGGGGCCATCTTTCTGGAAGGATCATGAAGTATCCAAACTTATTCAGTGGGTACGCACTGTCGATGTCATCCACGACTGGCTTGAAGGAGCAAAAGAGCATTACGGCCGGTTCATACAACAACAAAACCGAGAGACGGAAAAGTTTCATCTGCCCGACAGCTATATCCACGAGAAATTCGGGGAAGTCTACAGACGTCTCGGTGCTATGGGCCCTTACCTTCCGAGGATATTACGGAATGGAACACATGCTGGGCGCCTCGAAGAGGTCACCAGACGGATTGCTGATGAGCTTTGGAGCGGCAACTTCTATTGGTTGGACTGTTTTTCAGAGCTGATCAATGCGGTGCTTTTGGATCATGATGAATTGGTTTTCGAACTTATCAAGCCAGTGTGTGAATCTATCCAACCCATGACAGTGGACCAGCACAGAATCGTGGATTTTCGCTGCCGCTGCAAGCGGTGCAATCGGGATCACAGTGGCCGGCAGGAGTCTCGATGGCGATGGTTTCTAGCGGTACTCATCATACTACTCGTCACGTTGGGCTGAGTCGATCCATCAATTATGTACCTATCCACAACACTACTGCAATGCATTCCTTTTGTCAGATAACCGTCTTCAGCTCCGAAACCGCCCAGCCATGCTGCGAAGTGGACCGTGTGTCCACGGCCAACTCTAAGTTGATTAGGACCATTAGTAGCCGTGTTTTGAGCAAGGCTATTCCTGCGCGCATCTTTATTACGCTTCGCCGGTGGTCGGGGACGCCTATGTCTTCCGATAGGAGTACGCCAAACCCTGAGTTATTGGTGTAGTGTCAGCAGCTCCTCCGGCATTCATGTAAACAAAGTCTCCCCAAGTTTTCGTGTCAGCGAGCTGGTGGTCTCCATGGTCCCATCAGACACGTTTCCGCTAGTCCGGCCTGGCGAGAACTCCCAGCATCCAAAGCCTACACATGCTGTACGAAAGCGAGTTCGCTATGTCGATGAGGATGGAGACGAGAAGCCAGAGTATCTGACTCAGCAACAAAGCACAGTCGTTCTGAACCTCCGCAATACGTAGCACCAGCTACGAAGGTAGCCAATCGCAAGCCAAGGGCCTCGCCTCGGCCGAAGCCTGACTCCAGCGAGGCTCTAACCTCGCCGCCAATGATGTTATATTTCAATATGAGGTCTATTTCGGGATCCAAGAACATCAAATAAGACAGCAGCAACGTGGATGCGGAGGGCCATAGAATTGCTGACAATGAAAGAATCGACGTGAATATTAATTGCATATAAATGGGAAAGGAAATTTAGAGGTGTAATTACGCAAGCTTTTGTAAGTATAAGAACAGATCTTCACATCGGCTCGGGATCAATCTGGCGCGACAAATCCCAGACCCACCTTCCAGTCAACACCCTCACTATCCATGCCTGCATATTGTCCATCTTGCAGTTGGAGTGGAGGGATGAGCCACATCAAAATTGCAATCCGAGGAACGTAATGCATATGTGGTTTTGATTATCCGTCGACCCAATCTGGGCTTCCTCCCCCAACAGGGTATTCAAATTGAGTAGATTCTGTCAATTTTTAGTAACGTGTTTTATCAGTCAGCCCAGCCATAAGTGGCTCACCCAACTTTTCACGACGGCCCACCCAGCTTTTTCGTTTGGCCCACCCAGTAGAAAGGGTGAGCCAAAAGTTCACGATATATTTTCAGTTTATAATGAGCTTTTTAGCCCACCCAAAGTATCTTTTCTCCAATTTCTGACTAAGCAAAGAAAAACTACCACGCATTGTAAAATATTTAAACTTGTCCTTTTTAAACAGTACTTTGGGAATACTTATTTAGAGGGCACAAATGCATTTAAAGGGCCAAAGGGTTAAGAACCGCAAATGCACCTAGAAGGCTAAAGGGCTAAAGGGCTAAAGGGCGTGAATACACCTCAAAGACACGACTGCAACCAGAGAGCACAAATGCACCTGGAGATGATTTCACTTGTTACCAGAGTTCGGCGTTGCTGCCTAACGAATATTACTCACACTCCACGCTCCGCCAATGAAGACTCTCCCGGCCGAAACTTCCAGCTCATAGCCTTCCTCTGTCTGGACTCCATTTTCGTACCTCAATCGCCTTGTGTCCCCCCTAGATTGCTCCAGGAAGATGCGCTAAAGAGCTGCTTCAAGTACCTAGCGCGGCTAGACATTCATATAGCTGCACCTAGAGAGGCTAGCCAGGTTCCCATCCTTGGTGGAGAAAAATCTTCGGGAAGATCGAGCCTCTCAAAGCGGTATGCAGTTGGAGAACAGCATACACCTACCACAAAAAATGCCAGAGCGAACCTTGTACAAGGCTAAATTAATGCAACAGATAGATGTCGGGAAATACCGCCACATTATATACTCAGCTATAAACTAATCTCACGGACGCAAAATCTGAGACCTTGTTTTGCTGCTCTGGTAACGTGGCCCTAATGTATTGGAGGGCAACGAAGCATGAGATACGATGGCGAACATCTGTGTCGCCGATATGGGGTCATGTTTAAAAAGGTGCTTTAACACTGACGCAGGATCATGCCAGCCATAAGTGCGGCTCGATCGCATGCAAATACTGCACAATGGACTCGGGGATAGCGAGGAGCTATTAGAGGTTATCATTATACCTTGACTGATGTGTGGGAGTCACGAGATATACCAAGGCTAGGGTTAGGGTCAGACTCGCAAGACCCGCTTGCGAGCCTATTGCGCGTCTGCCCCCTTGTTGAGATATACTACCATCGATCCGTATGCCTTGGGGCTGTCTCTGTTGCTGAGCCATGCTACCTTCGCCACTAAACGCACGGCTCTTTACTTTTCGTCAATTTTGAATATGGTTTGGCTTGGCATTCCATCCACAGATTCTGCGCGAGGATACATATATATCGCATGCTTGACTAAACTACGGAGGCTATGGAACGTGCATACAGTAGAATCAACCTCCAGGTATTTGCTTCATAATTTCCTCTATTCGCTCGCGTCGCCATTTTGCCAGAGCATGACCGTAAACCAACTTGGGACCACATGCACAGCCCCAGGGATTGTAAGCACTCGCTGGTGCTAGCCTGTTCATTTTACGCCAGCACTCCGTGCATTGGACATGTTTTTGACATGGTTTGAAACAGAAATATTATTGGTATCGGTCTTGATGCTTTTCGTGCTTCCTTCATCTCAATCTGTGAAGACAAGAGCATATCTTGCACTCCAGACGCGTTTGATCAGCTTGCGCGAGAGGGTATGACTTACTGGCTGTTGTGGAAGTATCCGGCTAATCATGATGCAGGGCTTCAGAACCTGACTCTCGATCTCATCCTCGTACTGCAAGTTCTGCGGACCTCTCGCGTCCTCCCTTCCCATGGCGGAGGCAAGAATCTCTTCAGCGACCTATCGAAATTCAACGATGAAGTTAACTCTGATAATTTTGACTTCGACTTATCCGCCATCTCGTCAATGCCGTCCTTGCCGACAAAGCGGACAGCGAGATCTGGAACCAGGACGTCGTCACTGAATCAACACCCCCTCCCCGACCGATAGCCTCTTCTCTCCAGCAGACCCCGTGGCTCCGCAACACGAGTAGCTTCGCGGATTCATCGGAACACCGCAAGTATGTGGATGATGTGCTGAAGGAGGAGCTCGGCGCTATGCATGTCGGGCTCCGCAAATTCGACGGGTCATATTTCGGAGGTGTGGCCGATCTCGAGACAGTGTCCGTTGCGTTCTTCAAGCAGTGCATCAAAGGCAGCACTCCGCTCTTTGATGATGGATGGACGGGATGGCCAAAAGACGCGAACCAGGTTGATGTGCTGGACTGGTTTGCGAGGTTCAGCGACAGTCTGTCAACTTTTCCGGAAGTCTACAAGTCGAGTCCCGTACGCCAGCGGAGACCATTAACGAGACCTAATGAACCGATCGTCGGCTCTATCGCGAAACGCAAGATGGATGTCGGAGTCGTGAACGACTCGAAAGCCAAGAAAAACTCCAGATGGCCTC